GTGCGAACTATTCAGTGAATTCAGTAGCCTTTTGAGGAAACATTGGAGTGATTCGATAATGCCAAACGGAACTACCTCAAATCATTGAATATTATTTACTTTCGGGTATAAATTTTTTGATTAGCAGTCAACAAATATTTATTAAATTACCGCTTTATTTAATCAAATCAGCTACAGTCAAGAAAAATTTGGAGAAAACAGCCAAGGTTCAGCGGTCACCCAAATTCTGTTGTGGTGCGTCGAGCTTTATGAGTAATCCTGAAGTAATCCTATAAGATAATAGTTTTTGGTTAGTATCAAGTTCTTGTCAGTGACCATTTTGGAATGGCTTAAGAATTTGACTACCAATCAAATTCGTGGTTATTTACCGTGACCCTTTACTGTGTATTTTACCTGTAGGAATACTTGTGATGTCCAAATCAATGTTTTTAAACCGACCGGGTAGGGTTGGGAGTTATTGTTGTTCGGTTTTGATACGATAAGCGATCTATTAGCTGTACATTTTGAGCTGTGCCATTCAGAGCTCTAATTGTAAGAGCAGAGTAGATTCTCAACTGGAGAGTTTCTGTTCTGGAGCAATCAAGAATGATCACTCCCTCTTCTCCTATTTGGTGACCAAGTAGTCGATCCCTCATTTGAGGTAATTTGCAGTTATTGAAGCAAAATGTTTGTTTGGTTGAGGAAATTTCCGTCTCCGAGCTCCTACCTAGGCTTTTGTTTTGAAGTGAATAGATGGCAATCCGTAGTGGCCAAACCTGGCTTTGCTGGGAAAGGTTTGGCTCCCTAACCCACTCTTCCGCTGTCTCTTTTGGATTACCTCGCATTGACATATTGGAAAGTATGTCGTATCTCCAGTAGGCAAGTCTTGGACAGTCAGTTTTTTCTTCTGTCTAGGCCAGAAGGCGTCTTTTTGAACCACCACGACAATTCTTTAGTAAAGTTCTCAAAAATCGGTAAATAGATGCAACAGTTTACAGTTCAGAGCAAGCGAGAATTTTCTAGACGGCAGATCAAAAATTCGGTCAAGAAGTGGGAATTTTGGCGTTAATGAGAGCGGTTACATCTTCGAGGGTAACTGTCATGAACTTTCTGTTCCTTATCTCACCGCATATGTGCCCGTCTCTCCGCATTGTACAAAGCGCCACTGGAGCTTCACTGAGGGCTGAGCTTTCCTGTCGTCACAGTCATCAACTTTTCTTCCTCGCCTCAAACACGGGGAGACTCGGGGGTGGCGGACCCACGCGGTTACGGCAGGAAAAGTACAAGATAGTTGCGAAGATCAGAATGCTCCTCCCTTTTCCAATAGTCTCAGGTTTGGGAATTGTCCATTGGTGGTCAGTTGATTCAGAGTATGTAATCAAGTGAATGAAGATAAGTGTAACCACCAAAATCATATCTGGGAGTGATGTGCCCAGAATATTGTCGTGAACTTCGGTAACGTTTTTGGACGAGTCTTCTGGCTTCTGTTTCCTCTAAAAACCGGTTTTTTTCCTGTAGTGCTGAACTCGTTCTATCCAGGAACATCAGTTGCAGTGCTAGTATCCCAAGCATTTGTGCATGTATTTAATTCTTTTCATATGCTCGCCTCTTTTGATTCTTGGATGAAAGACGTTATAGGAAGATTTTTCAATTTTTGTTTAAGGATTTTCCTTCCTTGCGCGGGTCTGAAATCCGAACACTACTTAGTTAGACTAAGTGACAGACGGGATCCTTTTTTGATGGTTTGGAAGTATTGCACGTGGGTTTTCGGAAACACGAAGCTCACGAGGAAATCCAGAATTTGCTCTTCTCAGTTTCTTCCGGTTTGTTTAAATCTTTCACTTAAGTAGGTAGCCCTCGAATATAGTCCACATTTCAGTTTTTCGAGGAGAGAACTTCGCGCTATCGTGTAAAGGAAACCAGTACATGAAAGTTCGTGGAGACTTTCCGGAAATGGTTTTCCTAGTATTTCAACAGACCCTACTGCACGGGACCAAAAGTCATTTCTTTGGAATTCTGGGATTCCGAGAATTATGGGAAAGCGCCCCGATATGCCTTGAAAATTAACTTTGGCACTAATTAATTTGATAGCAAAGCTTTTATGGAATACGCCATGCGATTCAAAACTAATTTTTATCCGCAATCATGGCACCTTCAGAATGTCTTCTTAACTGGTAGCGATCAGCAAGTGCACAAAAGCTGAGAATTCTGTGCTTGCAGTTGGGATCGTGCCAATTTGCGAGGAAAACGCTTTAACGCTCTACCTTTCTGTAATAAAGTTGTTGAAATGTATTTTTGCACTCGCACAGCGTTTCTTTTTCCGTCAGGCTTTTTCCAGATGCTGACATGAGTTTCAGCTGTGATCAGATTTTTTAGAACATGAACAGGTTTCTGATTGTTCAAAAGCTTTCAACAAGTTTCCCAGAATTGAATTGATTGAAATCTTCTACAAGCCCAAAATACAATTTCGCTAGTTGGAAAACGTTCAAGAGGATAAAACATTCATAAACGGAGGGTTCTTCGGCAAAGAATCCTCGGGAGGAAAAATGCCAAATCAGATTCCTAGACAATTCTGATTTTAGTTGCTAGGAGAAAAAGGAAGGTATGGGAAAATCAGAATACCTCCACAATCTTCTGCTATTTAATCATTTTGTATGGCTTCGGTATTTGGGGGGGNGGGGGGGGGGGGGGGGGGGGGGGGGTATGAATTTCTCATGCAACAGGTCACTGAGAGAAGAAACTTCTGATAGCAGTTACCAGATCCTTTTTACTAATTATTATTTTGTTGCACATTTGTACAGGCACTCAAGAGTAAAGAAAGTAAATATGAGAAAGAAAACCGATATGGTCATTACATCACCGAAGCTGGACACAGTTTTGTGTTGATGAGAATTTCGGTTCACTACTGCTGAAAAAATACTTCTTAACGAAAGGAGGTGGAAGCTCTGTCATAAGTCACTCAACATTATCGTTGAAGTACTATTTTAATTTGATTTTTCCTAGTAAATAACAATATTCAAAATTTATCGGTAACTTATAGTACCAACGGGTCAGCAATCTCGAGTAACCTTGTTGAAAAACTTAATTTTCAGCCTTCCCTTAATCTCGGTATAGGTAAAACTTCTTTCTTTGTTGTTTTTGATTGGGTTTATGAGAATGATAAGATATGGCATTTTTATCTGCTGACGTTTCGGAAAAATCGTCTTGTTTGGAGCCATAGCAAAGGCTGAACTGTTGTAAACAGAATCAGTTCGATTTTCATCTGTTTTTTATATCCTCGTCAGCAACGCAATGACAAGCTATTGTGCAATGAAAGCAATGGAGTCGGCAATCTAGATGGTGGGGGATGAGTTCGGATATAAAAGGTGTGTGGTCTTGCGAAATGAAAGGGGGTCCTCTAAGTGCTATTACGGGGCCTTGCAAGCGTACTTTCATCATTTTGCATCTGGTTGGACTTATGTGTCAAAGTCACAAGTCATGATTAATCCCATTTTGGGATGCGCCACCACTTTCTACTTCGTTTAGAATCACGACTTCAGCTGGCCAGCAGATGTTTAAGTTAGCGTTTTTATATGTTAAGTCAGTGTTTTTATCTTTCGAGTGGGGTACCGATGAACCGATCCCGAAAGGATATAAAGCTTCGTTGGCGTGGATTTGTACCCCGATGTGTGATAGTGGGATGCTTTCCACTACATCACCTCCACCCTTCGCCACCTAAGTCGAACTCTTCTAGCAAACGCCTTTCCCACTACAGATGCCATCCATATGTACACAGTGGGAAAGGTATTCCATATATGCAAACCAATTTTATCGTACCCTCTGCTTCCCTATAAGCTGATAACATCACTTTTTTACTTGGCTTTTTCTCCATATCGCTACGTCGTGCACATTCCGGTCACCAGACAATGAAACATGTGGGGTGCGCCCTACATTTTTCATGAACTTCCGGTTATCATCGAACTTCAGTAATCGTTCTCTGGATTCTGACTTGAACCTTATCATACTATTATTATTGTTCTCCTTTTTGGGTGATTCTTCTCTTGAACACTTGAAATCGGTACTTTATGTAATAAATGTCGGTACTTCTTGCTAAAGTGGTTCCACAGTTGAAATGACGTATAAGTGTAATTTGAAGAATTTGTCTCTTTTTTCCACAAAAGTTTTTCATTGAACGGTGCATTGACGTTGTACGCACCGGAAAGGGGGTCGTCATAATTCACAGTTTCTTTGGGTATGGCACAGCGTTTGTTTCTCAGAACGGCAATAGGGAGGAGACAATGGCGCATGGGAACCCTTCTGTCAGTGTGCCAGGAGAGGAGGGAATGAAGAAAAACAAATGGAGGAAGCAAAAAGAAATAACTGGGTGCATGCTGTCAAAAATTAAAGAAGCTTTCAAAAGTGGGAATAAATGGAAAAAGTTAATTACGAGTTTTCCCATGCGTCAGACATCCTTTCCTTTCGATGTTGCAGTAGTTCTCGAAAGATTCTTGAATACCGCTTTTCTGAAAACAAATTCTGCCTACGCAATGGTCCATTCACATACTACTCAATCAGTTTTAATCTGACGATTCCTATAAACTAATTCCAGTTCGTAGACCGCTCAGAAGCAAAAAGCTGAGTTGGTTCGAATATGTGTAATGAGGACCATGTGTAGGAGAAGACCATCGTTCCATGTTACTCCATTTCCGTTCCCTTTTGGCAGTAAATATTGTTCTTGTGAACGAAATGCTATTTTTTTCATCACTTGTGAGGTCTAGAAAGTTATAAGACTATTCCACTAAATGTTTGTCATACAGCCAGCATGACCTGCTTGCGCAAGTACCTACTCCGGCTACTAGCTTAGCTTGATTCCACTTGTTCCCGCTTTTCTCATCCAACTATCCATTCGGTTCTAATCTTGGAATACATTTTCACTCACTACTCAAACATTTGTACGAGTTGTTCGCAATATTTCTAGACTTAAATTTACATCGCGATTCCGAGCTGTCAGCCTACACGGCTAAGTGACAGAGACCTAAGTGATGGACAGTAAGGAAATAGGGCAAAAGAAAATAAAATATCACAACTTCAAGTTGGGAAAAGGTAACGAAACCGGATTAACTAGTTCTATGCAGTATGGCAGGTGCAAAAACGGTAAACGTCCTATCTGTAAATCATTTATTTAGTTCTGTTAGCAATAAGATAGCAAAGTCAACATTAATCAGTAAAATCTTCGAAGAATCAGTTTATTTTGGGGATTTTGTTATGGAATGTAATTTTTCAGATTTTGTTACGGATGTGGCCCATCACGGTGAGCTGTTGGTGGCTCTCAATCGTCTTGGATCGTTTGATGTCCCAGTGTCACGGTTCTATGCAGCGGAAATTGTTGTCGCTCTGGAATTTGTGCATAAGTAAGTTTTTTTGCATTTCCTTTATTTACTTCATGGGCCTTCTTGTAGCCAGTTGTTCCTGTATGATCGTCGGCTAAACGGTAAAAATAACAAAATCACAGTAATAAATTACATGAAAACCTATGCAGGGTTTGCTTGGCTTTCTGTACGTAATCTATGTATGCAGCGGTTTTGGTTCAGGCTACTGGTGATCCGTTGAAGGCCATCAGGTTTGTAGAGCGTCTTCTGTTCAAAGGGGTGAATTAACGAAAATGGTGGAGAGTTCACCCAAGGGAAGGGGTAAAAGGTCGAGGGCTTGGCCTGCTTGACCGGGTTTCGTTCAAGATTCGGCCCCGGAACATGCGTGTGGTAGTGCGCATGCGCCACTACATCGCAGCCGGGCAGGAGGGAAAAAACAGGGAGTAAGTCAAACAATTGCAAATGGGATACAGACAAGGAAAGAATGGACCGTAGGCATGGTATACCTTTCTAGAAAATGCATTAGAACCCAGGAATGCAGCACTGTGTTTCCTTCAACACAATCAACTTTGACTGCCCCTTTGAATCTGTTGTGTGTAAAGCGTGTTTCGGGTAAGGCTCATATCCGCGATTCGGGAACTTTTTTAAATTATCAAATTCATTCGGTTACGTTGAATATGAAATGTTGAAATGGGTGGGGCGGGAGGGACGTTGCAGCACGAGTTCCAGGGGCCACCCAACAAGATAATCCGCTCGAACAAGCGCGTTTCTCAGTAGGTGGTCGCTAAGTGTCCCCCATAATTGAGTCTTTGATTTTCTCATTGATAAAAAAAATCTTCAATATCTCTCGGATCCATATAAGTTTAATTTTGACATAGCACGATTTCATGTAGTATACAGATGGTAAACGAGTTTCTGCTCGAATATTTTTGTGGCTCCCTCTTTTACATCAATGAACTTCGGACGGGACCTTGAAAAAATCTTAAAAGATCAGTAGTTGGATTCTAATCTTGATTTATTGCAGATGCGGTGTTGTTCACCGTGATGTGAAACCGGAAAATGTCCTTATTCGAAGAAATGGTCATATCATGCTTACGGATTTTGGTAGTGCTCAAATATATGACGAGAAATTGTGTAAGTATAAAGACCAATTTTGTTATATTGAATATGTGAAATTTGAAAGTTTAAATTTTTGATAAAGTTTACAATTATTGATGCTTCCTTTTTCAGTCATAGACTATGAAGAAGAGAATGAATCCCCAACCCAAGTACGGCAAGCACGCCAGTACCGGCAGTATATGGACACTATTGCATCCAGTAGTACCAGTTCTTCATTTGAATCTGATGAACATATAGGTGGTGAGTTACTGTTTGTGTCTTTGTAATTCCGAAAGTTTTTTCACTGTTCCACTTTCCTTTACTGTAATTTGGGTCTCCTAAGCGGACCAGTGCTTGCTTTGCTTTTGGAATTAAGGTGTTCTGGGTGGGCTTGCATCCGAGTTTCATAGCTAGAATTTTTACGCGCGTATCCAGGCTTGTCATTAAGGGTGTTACCGTTCTCTTCAAGTATTTTTATGAGCTCATACTTGTTTAATTACTTCTGAAAAATGGGAAGGCGCTATCAGTACCCTCAAAGCAATGCCTGCTTTTGGTAGTGCGTAATAGTACGCTTTCAAACAAATTTCTTCATTTATGGAACCAAAAAGTGTTGTTGTAGGTTTCGAGCATACACGTCGGGCCACTTTTGTCGGTACTGCCCAATATGTTAGCCCAGAGATGCTGCGAGGCGACGAAGTTGGACCACCGTTAGTTCCATCGTCTTTCATTTTATTCTTGCCCATCTCTTCTGGGACTCATTTGTATTGTCAGTTGTAACATTAAGTGCTCCACTCTTTTGTAGATAACCGGTAGCTACCCTGCGAACTATTTTTTCCGTTCAGTTTTCCCCTTATTACTAGTTTGGGTAAATCTAAGGTAGGGGATTTATTGAGTGATAAGGACGAGGTGGAGGAGCTGTTAGCCTCTCCCTGTTGGGGAACTTCACCACAAATGGGGTTGAACCGAAGGAAATTATGAAGTATCCAGCGAGTAACCTTTCCAAAGTTGCCTTTTGAGTATCCAGAGAAGGCGATACGATTTTCGCATTCTTTGGGAGGCAACTCAATGTTCTGGAATCATAAAAATTATCGAAATAGGTGAATATCAAATTTGTCCATAGAGGTCGGGCTACGTTTTTTTGTTTGCCTGGTATTTTCCGCGTAATTCCGTCCTCATAGTTTACTCCATTTAATTGGGATCGTAAAAATAAATAGAATATTTGGCAGTTTCGAATAACCCCCCACCACCCCTTCCCCTCCCCTTTTTATTCGTTGACGTTTTTTTACGACTGAAAGTTGATGTAGGCCTTTCAAAATCATTCAATGAATTTGTCGAGTTTAAATATTTTAAACTATGAATATCTGTTGCAGATGCGATTATTGGGCGCTCGGTGCTACCGTTTTCCAAATGATCTCAGGACAAGCTCCATTTCGAGCTGTAAACGATTTTCACCTGATGAATAAGATTCAGAAGCTTGACTTTTCTTTTCCTCCGGAGTTCCCTGACGTTCCCAAAGATTTTGTCTCACAACTGCTGGTGAGTGTTCAATATGTTTTTACATTACTTGTTTCTTTTTGCCTACAGGTACTTGATGAAGTAGCGTTTTGATATGTATATTTTTTAAATGAAATGAACGCTATCAAGTACTGTATTGGTGCTAAAGCTATGCTCTAAACTCTTTTCTCACGACTGCCGACCCATGACCCTCTTGTATTCCCTAAAGTTGGGTTTCTGCTATTTGTAGAGAGCTGTAGTACTCATATATTTAATTACATTTCTTCTATGAAAGTATTTCAAACGAAATATGACAAAACATTTACAACTATTGACAGGTATTGGATCCTATGGTTCGACTTGGGTCGAATAATTTGATGGATCTTAAGTCCCACGAATTCTTCAGTGGAATCGACTGGGACAACATTATGAGCATGGAGCCACCGGACATATTTCCATCAGTTCCGCCAGGCTTAGGTTCGTTACTTTTTTCGTGAAAGAGAGAGTGGGAGAACTGAAAAGATTCGGATTGGGAAATATGTTTTTAACATATTTTTTAAAGAAGAGGCTGAGCTCAAATCAGTGGATGAGATGCCCGAGCCTGGTCTTGACGAAAAGGCTCTCAATCGATTGATGAACTTGTCACTGATGGAGATGGGTCCTTCGTGAGTTTTTTATCGCTCACTAATAAACTACAGCATTAATCTGAATATATCCCATATTTAGCAAGCAATTATCCCTCGACAGCGAAATTTTGAATACTGCCGTAGATATTCCAAGGTAAAGCTCATTTCTGGATATGCTTTCCGTTATCTTTGAAAAAATAGGCTCTCAACTTTGAATACTGGAGAAAATAAAACAAACAACAACAACATGCTTGGCCTGAATGAGGTTATTTTTTTCAATTCCAGTGACATGGTTGAGCTTCCCAAGGTTGACAAGAAAGCCCTAGCAGCGAGACAACGAAAGCTGGAAAAACAACGGAAAGAAAACCCCTATCATCTGTACGTTCAATAGCACTTAAAACTTTTTTCGATCAATCGATACGATGATGTCGCTTAGTTTTGATGATTTTGGTTCTTGTTCCTGGTAAATCCATTGCTGGATTTGATGTGAAAACTCAATAATCGTTTTTAGGTTCGTACAGGATAACTTGATCATTCGTTCCGGTTTCATTGACAAGAAAAAGGGTCTATTCTCCAGAAGGCGGATGTTCTTGCTTACTGAGGTTATTCTTGAAAATCTTTGTTGTTGTGGTTTCGTTACCTTCGAAGGAACAGCTGTGCTTTGAACAGCTATTATTATCAGACTTTCTATGTGCTCAAAGTATTATCAAACACACCTCTACTAGATAGTATTGTTTTGCTTTTGTAATGTCGCATTTCGATTGCCCATACAACAAAGGTATTCTTGTGGGGGTCGGAAGCGATTAATACCAAATGGTAAGACTGAGCTGGGCTTGGGCTCTGTACAAAATTGGGCGGTCGAAACGGAGTTCCGGTCATCAAGGGCTTATGAAGTCCTAGGGTAGACTCCAATTTGACAATCAGAAAAGCGTTGGTATGGTTACGCTTGAAGTAATCTGGTCCCTTTCCAAACCCCACCTCCACTTCCATACAGGAAGTACAACTTATACTGGAATGAACTGGTTGTGATACTTCGGAATAGCTCCTGTAGGATTTCGGTCACAGGTATACTTGTAATAGTGGGTCATTTCTTGTGTAGAGGGCAGCATGAAACAGTCAGGCGGGAGAATAAAAACTGTTTGGAAAGATCAGCATACGATCCATTGAAGGAAAGAATGTTTAGTGTTGGAAGGGAAACTGAGCAGACATTATGAAATGAAACTTCTTTTATCATCAAAGATATGGGCTAACCTCAAGACGTTCTGTATTGAGAAATTTCAGGGCCCTCATCTCTTCTATGTTGATCCAAACAGTATGGAGCTGAAAGGGGAAGTTCCGTGGTCCCCATGTATGAGAACGGAAGTGAAGAATTTCCGGACCTTCTTCGTTCATACTGTAAGTTTATTTAATTTGCTTGTTTATTTGTTTATTCACCTATCCATTATGCACTGCAGCATTGATCCTTACGTTAGCCCTACATTGCATTTGGAGAGTAGAGTGATGATTGGGGAGTACATGACGCTATGCAGCAACGTGGATAGGGACAGGATCCCTGCTTTGGTGACAAGTTTCTTTTTTTGTGCTCTGCGTCTCTGACACCGGCGGCAGAGTGCATAGAGATAGCAGAAATGGGTTCCTTCCCTTCCAAAGGTTGGGGGGAGGAGCTTTGGGGTGGGAGAAATGATTATCTTGTGCAAAAAGCTGGGATGGGGTAGGAATAGAACATCCAACTGATTCACCCACCCCGGAGTGCCAAAAACGTCGTAACGTAGCATTCGCTCAGCCCGCGGCACGAACTGGACGTATTGCACTCCATAAGCTGAGGAAGTGCATAGTTCCTCAAAATCACATGTTTTTAATACTAGCGGGTATAAATAAAGTATACTTATAGCCCAAACGAATCTACTACCTGTTCGATCCGGAGTCGAGAGCTCTGGAGTGGTGCAAAGCGATAGATCAGGTAAATTGTTGTTAAATATTAAGGATTTACAACTACATACAGATTTGTAACGTTCAGGTCAAAGTACGCTATGCGGACAAAATAGCAGAATCGTATGCGAGAGCAGTAAAGGATGGCACGTATGGAATGAACAAGTTCAAGAAATCGAGTAATTACTTTGGTGACAAACGAAAAAAGTCGGAAGAGGTTAGCGGGAAACGTGACAGCGAATCGGCCTCTGTACCACATTGAACAATCGAGCCAGCACTACTCTTATGTACCTTTATTACGACCTAATTATTACGAGTTTCATAGTATTTTTTATCGATATTGTGATGGACCGATGCTGTTGTCATTTTTTTTTTGGTTCGTGTTAAAACACAAACTATTAAGTTACAAAGTTGCTGACAAAATATGATGCTTCATTTACAAATTATTATATAGAGTTTACTTTTGAAGTCATTGTAATCAGCGCTACGGGCATTTTTGAAACTTATCGCGTGCTCCCCTGACATCTGCAAAAGCTCCTATTGAGATGAACATTTTCTTTTCTGTAGTATTCAATTTCCGTTTTTGATTTTTTGCATCATGCTTAATGTCCGACAGATATCTATTCTCTTTCTTAGTGACTTTTTTCTCATCCCTTCTGTATTTCTACGCTGTACATTACTCATGTCTTCAGAGGTTTCGATTCTTAGCTCGAATTGTATCAATTCTCAGTGGAAACGTTTGCGTTCTCATGAAACGTGAATTTCTATTACACATTTCGAGCCCATGACTTCCTATTTGGTCAAGCACTATGATACGGGATATAAATTTCGTAATTAATTCATTATACAAATTGTAATTTTGCTTTTTCTCAATCACAAACTGATCAGTAATAACAGCTTGTCTTACCGGTATTTCCTTGTATTTCGTGGTCACAAAGACGGCTTTGAGGAATGTCATGTTTTTAATAATATGTAGCCTTAATATTCTATTCCTACTTTGAGAACATTTATGCTTTACAAATAAATATTACTAAAAAAGTGTCGGAATGGCGGAGATACTGTTTACATCAGTTACCATTTATTCGAGTAAAGTTGATCTACGCCTTTTTTCGATGAAGCGCCATTTTTCTCTTCTGCCTAGGGGTTTAGCTTTGTATCAAACAGCGTCAACATCGCAGCGCCCTTTTCAGTCATTGAGGGCTAGAAGGTGGGGCAGCCAACTTCGCTAGCCCGTAATGGTGCTTAGGAACGTTTCGTAACCAAGAAATAGGTTGTTTACCTTTAGTCTTAAAGGAAAGGAGCTCCGGGGTGGGAGAGCCAATTGGATGTTCTTTTCATACTTCATCTCAGCTTTTTGTACGATCTAATCATGTCACCCTTCCCGGCAACCCCCGCCCTATCCGACTACGTTTCCACCGGAACCATAAATCTGCGTAGGAAAAGAAAATTTTTCTTTTTTGTCATAAGTCGACATGGGCTGTTTTCTGAAAGTTGGATTCACTACGGAGCTCTACAGGAGGTGCTTCAAAGTTTGGAATGCACTATTTGGAATTGTCTGATTTCAAGATAAACCGTCTATTTTATTTTACAAGGGTGTCCCGTCGAAGTTTCACAAGACAGCGATGACACCAATACTGTTTGGACTCAACGGAATTTGGTGGCCCTACAAGTCAGTTTCATTGCTAATGCGACCATCAATAACGGTACGGGACATATTCTTGTAAACTGACCAACTTACTACTACCTTATTTTCTTTCCAAAACAAATTACATGACTACAATGCATACTTCCCCGTCCTTAAATCAAATGCTAGTCTTCCCATAGCCATGTGATCGATTCACCTGATCAATGCAAGATATGGGGCGGGGCGAAGGTGTGGGGGGAGGGAGGGTATACGCATAGAACCTCCGCAATTTCGGTAATCGACACTCGAAACCACACTAGGATCATTGCCGACTCGAAAGATCAGCCAGGGAGGAAGGAGTACTTGGAAGACATAACCTTTCTAACCTGAAAGTCCGTCTCAAAATCGTGATCTTCCAAGATAGTGTTTACTGTTTTCTCGCTTACATCGTGTAAGGACTGAAGAGCTTAGCTTAATGATAGCTAAAATGGAAACTCTCGTTTTTCTACTTTTCTGCCGGTTCAGAGCAAAGTTTTTGAAAAGCCTAATAGGCCATTGGGCTCCGCTCTCCAAGCTCTCAACAATAGACAATGACACTATTGATTGGGAGGCCCTGGATCAACTAACAGACACACTGCGTCAGTATGGCAGGGACGCCGTCAATTCGACCATTTCAAGCAGACCCTGCAAAGTTCCTCACACCTTGCCCCAGAGCACAACTCCGATTCTATGCCCAATACCATCCAATTAACATAAAACGTCGCTCGGGAGGCCGGGAAAGAGGGAGTAAGAGAAGGAGGCTGCACAATTTTGAGATTTTCAGATATTTGCCGAATAGCCGTTTTTCCTTCAATGACCAATATACGTTTACACGTGCAGGTGAAAATTTAGTTGAGGGGTGCCAGAGCTCTTTTGTGCTCTGCGTCTCTGACGCTAATTGTCATAGTGCCTTGCTCGAGTGCAGAGATGGTTTCCTTCCCTTCTCAAAATTAGGGAAAGAGCTCCGGGGTGGGAGAGATGATTACCTCGTGCAAAAAGCTGGGATGAGGTAAAGATTTTTACCTAAAAATCGAACATCCAAATGGGTCACCCACCCCGGATTTCCCTCCCTAACTTTAAGGAGGGGAGGAGCTCCGGGATGGGTGAGATGATTAGATGGGGTAAGGATTGAAGAGACGCAGAGCACAAAAGGGCCTGGCACCTCCCAACTACATTTTCACCCACGTGCATCACCGGGCAGTCAATCATAAACAATGCAAGTCAAGGAGAATTCTCAAAACTAAAACAATAAAGAGTGGGTGATTTAATAGCAAAAGGACTCGCAACTGCTGCAGAACAAAATGTCTGATGGGACAGAAAGGCGGCGTAGGTGACTGGGAAGTAACGCAACATAAATTGGCGTCTAGAAAACTGACTAGAAACTTACAACAGATAGCAGTTAAAATACTGTTCTAAGTTATTAGTAACGAAAAAGAAAACGAAGCAGGCGAGATTGTATAGAATTGCTTCCTGAGTTGTATGCACTAGTAGATAAGCAACAGTTCACTCAGATTTATGTGGTTAGGTACAATTTCGAGAGTAAAATTGCTTTTGCGGAAACAGAACGGTAGTGCTTCCAGGTGAATAAAACTGACCAAGGTAGACCTCACTACGGGTTTAGGGGTTGGCTGTTCCATGGGATAGTGTTGCCACGTGTCGCTTGCTATGGTGTTCAATCGATTCGGTCAAATGGTCAGCTAAGACAGAGAATAATTTACATCTTTAGAAACAAATCAGGTTTTAAAGGGTCGTGTAATCTGCTGGAAGGCGGTTCAATTTGGAGTCATTTCAGATGAGGAGCACTATCGGGACCTCTCTATTTTCGGAGTTTTCGAATTCCTGAAGAGCGTCATGGTACTGATAACGACCACCTTATCGGCACATCTTGAAATGCACCTCTGATCGATTTCAAAATATAACCTTCCGACTATGCCAGGTGATTCGTTTACTTCATTGAAGTCTGTTGTGTTCTGAGTTTTCTTCGAAGCAATCGCGGCTACCTCCACATCTACCGTAACCGTCGTAAAGAATCTTGCATTCAAGCAATGATCGCAATTTAGCGTTCTTTTTCGTGTTACAAACCGGATTAGGGCTATGCTTTTTGAAAATTAAATATACCATTGAGCTCAGCTCTTTAAGCTCTACAAAATTTTGCTTTAAGAGACTTTGAAGAGTATCATACTGAAAACGTAATTCTATGGCATACTTCAAAGTATGGAGAGATATTCTGTTTGAGTTCGAGAAGATAGCCGTGAAATCGATGTGGTATCCTAGCTCAGAGCCAGCGCTTTGTAGCAAATTCGTGGCACACTTGATTACAAGGGACTGTTTCCCCTGCTATGTAGCCCTGGATATCAGTACCTGGCGTATGGTGACAATTTGACCACCTTTCATTTCCTTTCCGAACCAGATTAAGCGGCTCTAATGTATATTATCTGAACACACAGGACAAATACGATTGAACCATGCACAAATCACCTCTTCATGAACTTTTTTGTCCCATCTACAGCTTTCTGTTCTCCAACGGCCTGTCTTCGAAGCCTTGGACGGCAGCGTATAATTCACGCGGCCGTCCAGAAAGAAGTAGCCAACGATTGGCAAAATGCCAGATCCACTGGCCAATGGTGTCTCGCAATTCGCGGCGCCATCCGCAGCCAGGCTGAAGGCCTATTTTATAAACTGAAAAGAGAATGAAGGTGAAAATGGGAACAGCAGAGGGTGCTCAGCTAGAGGTGAATAAGTTACTGAGCAGCACTTTTTGTGTGGAATCGATTAGTACAAGTTTCAATCGTGTAATTCTCTTGTAAGGTAATGAAAGAAAAGCCGCTTAAGTGAGAAGGATATGCTGCTTTTTTGAATTCTTGGCCACACAGCAAGAAAATCGCAGCTGTTACTTAGGTTGACCATCAAATTCCTGCACATTCGAAACCTCCCAATTAGTTCCATGGCTATCTTCTCGACTAATACAAAATATCCTGCCAAACTTGAGAGCCTGTCATAAAACTAAGCTATCCCAGAATAGGTACGTTTAGAGTATAATCTCTTCGAGCTTGATAAGCCGAGCCTAGTGATAACTAAGAAAGAAATCATCCTTAATCAACTTTAACAAAAACTTACTTGCGTTTTCATGCTTTTTTCACCTTTGACCAGTTCAAAGTTAATCTGCATACCATTGGACGCAGCCCTTCAAGATTTACAACAATAAGTTACACAAGTTTTGAAAAGTAGTACTTTCTGTACTGACCACCTTTTCTTTCCTTATCAAATAACCGGCTGCAAGATATACTTAGATTCCTTCAAAGAAATGCTATTCTTTGTTACAAGGTTTACTTTTCGATGAGAACTTTGTTTTCTTCCCTTTCAAGCTTTGTAATTCAATGACCGATCTCCCATTCCTTCGGACAAGTTAGCTATTCCGCGATTGGCGGCTCCCAGCAGGACGAGAAAGGAGAGGAGCCAATCACCTGGCAAAATGCCAGATCGATTGGCTGGCCATGCTTCATCGATCGTGGGGTTGATGAACGCCTTTGGGCTTGGCTATTTCGCAACCTGCGCGGATGCCCGAATTGCTTGCTGCCGTCGTGGGCTTGAGTATAGGCCACTGAAGGGGAATAAAGGTGAAAATTAAAGAGGAGCAAAGTTCTCTAGAGGGCTGGTATGTATAACGGCTGATAGCGTTTGTTCTGGTCTGTCAAACAGTTTACATCTAGTCGTACAATTTGTTTTGCTAAGGATGCAAAAGGATGGTCAAATCTCAGAAGTGTGCTTTTGTTTAAAGCCACATAGCAGAATAAACGCATAACAGTGATCAGATTAGCCTAAAAATTCCAGAGGTGGTGGTACTTTTCTCCGAATTGCCACGGCAAGCGGCTATGACTGGAGCGGCGGGTTACCATATCCTTCCACTGGAAATTCAACCATTCCTTCCAGAACGCGCGACTGGGTGCGGCGAGCACGACGCGATATTCGGAGAGAAGTACCCACACCCAAATTTCAGCAGAGCACTGACTGTAGACTGAAATCGCTTATAAATTCCAAGGCTAACTTCACAACTGAGACGAAATGACCCATTAGACCTGAGATTACATCTCAAATTGAAATTTCCCAAAGGGTCTCGCAAAGCATTCAAGTGCCGTCTCGAAGACTGGATAGTGATTCCAATAATTTATTCAACTGTGGAGAATTAGTTTTGGAGCGAGTTATCACAAAATTAACAGAGAGACGTGAATTCGCGTTTTTTGTGAAGCTGATGCCCTTTTAGATTGTTTCTCCAAGCTTCGCCAAGTATCATTTGGGAAATTGCAAAAGCTTCATCAAGGAGAGCATTGAAACTATTACATGCACCAAATTTTGGTATCGATTTGCCATATTGATCTGAGAAGATAGCCATGGAATCAATGACAGATCGCGGAATCGGTGGAGAGCGAAAGCTTTGCGTTCGACTTGGATGCATATTAGCCTTTTTTCTGTTGTATGGTCATGAATTCCAGTGCAGGTCACATTGTGGATCTTTTTTCGAAATACAAGTTAGAAATCGGTTCAAAATGGAATTTTTGAAGATGAATGCACTAGTAAACTCAACTCGTTGACCTTTACAGGACGGTGATTTAAAAATTTGGAATAACTCTGGTGTGGAATAGAATCATTTTTAGGCACACCTTCTACTTTGAAGTGGATTTTCGAAAGATAGCGATCAAATCGGCAAACGATCCCGAACTAGAGTTAGGACTACACGGGAATTTCGTGAATGACCTGGTTACATACTAACTTTTTTTCTGATATTTCGCCCTAAATATCAGTGCAGGGCATATTTTGATTATTTACCATCTATTTCGTTACAAAGCCAAACTACACGGCTGCAATACATGGTGCCCGGTTCCCTTTAGGAAATACCACAAATTGATAAATGGATCATTTTTCGACCAGAACTTTATTTTTGTTCGTTCCAAGCTTTGCGCTTCAGTGGCCGATCTCCCATTTATGTTACGGCGGGAGCAATTCCGCGATTGGCGGCTCCGTACAGGGAGTTAAATCAGTTGCCTGGCAAAATGCCAGACCGATTGGGTAATCGTGCTTGATCGATTGCGGCCAGGGCCGCCAGTGGATTGGGCTATTTCGCAGTCCGTGGCAGATAACGGGAATTGCACGGTCGTCGAGAGCTGTGAGCCCGCTACAATAAAGGTGAAAGTGAAGAAAAATGAAGTTCTCGTCGAAGTTGATCTATGTACCATTTAATAGCATTTCCTATAAGGAATCGAATGGTATACATTTCAATTGGTCTTGGTCAGTAAATACGAAGCTCTCAATTCGTTAAACTATGCCACCTCCTGGAATTAATGCTCGCTCAGCAGAAAAAACGCTCACCGTAATCAAATCGGTCCCAATGCTCCTGCACAGCCCTTAGTGTAGTCTGAAATGAACCCTAGACCTTATGGCCATCTTCTCAGACCAAAACAAAATATCCTTCGAAACTTGGAAGTATGGCTAAAATTAAAGTACTCTAGGATGTAATGTTTCCATATTTTCAAAGCGCTACCTTGTAGAGCTTCAGGAGCTGAGCTCCATGGTTTGCCCAGTCATTCGAAAAACCTGGTTTTGAACTTACATTTGTGTGGATTTTCCACAAGTACTATACTATTTCAGATGAGCATTTGTGAATCATTTTATTTAGAAAAAACTGCCGTATATTCGTATTTTTTGTCAGGACATTTCGAGTTTCAATTCCTACTGACTCGTTAAAACTTCTTCTTCTCTCACATCGACTGAACCGAATAGGCCATGGTTTTGCGCTTCCCTTGTAAGGTTAACATCAAGACCGTGGGGATCTGGTCTATTGCTGCTCAGAGCTGGTGAGACTGGAATGCGTTGCTTGCAGACGGTGTAATCTCTCAAACTGCTGCAGCTCAAATACCTTACTGCTACGTTAATAGCAGTTCTAAAGACATTGCTCTTCTCTTCCTGTGAGTACTTCGAATTGCAGACAGCCAAGATGTCAATGAAATAATCCATTGAACCAGATTATTAACGTAAGTGTGCAAGGGGAAAAGTTCTCCCATTTTTTCCCTTCCACACTTACAGTGCTATTTGTGAAAGACAAATTTTATCTTTTTTCTGTCTTTTTTTCAGAGATCCAGCCGTGAATCGCTCTGACTGTGTGGGAGATGGCAGTGAAACGGGATGACGTTGAAAGGTATGTTGGAGTTCTCCAGTTAATTAGCTTTGATTTCCCATATAATATTGAGGTTATTTCAGTATTCCAAATCTGAAGCCGCTCAGCAAAGGAGAAGGAAATGAAAGGCTTAAATTGAAAATTGTCGACTTTGATGCCGAAATACTGCGCATGAATTATGAGGTAGATAATCTTCTCGTTTTCTCATTTTTTCTCAATCGTCAGACTGGGTATCCTTCCTTGCTTATCTGACGATGACGAAAAACGTCTTCTTCTTAGTAGATTTCAAGAATATATGATGATTCCTAAAATTGCTGCAGTACTATTTAGGCATTGGGCTGCACACAGAGAATGGTCGCCGAGTTAGAGAAAATGAATGAGGAAGGAGTCATGACATTGTCGGCTCTAGAAAACCAAGATGGTGAGAATCCTTAGTAATTATGCTTCAGTAGTGAAAGGGGTTATACGGAAGAAAATAAACGGTCTACTAAGCACGTAAGAATGACATGTACGAAATGAGATAAGCGAAAATAGAACAATTGTTGAAGGGCACAGTACAGTAGTTGTATCCAAACTTGAATGCCATAATGAACTGCAAAAGAGACAGGGCCAGAATCAAGGAATTCGACATCTACACGACAGAGGCCGAGTCGCGTTTTTTCCCTCTAGTTCTGTTATAAATTGGAACATAGCTAAATTTTGCAAATCTCGGAAATAACATTATCGACGGGCGCCGGGAATGGCACTGTGAGGCACCATCAGCCATTGCGCCTGGCAGTTTGCCAGGTAGTGGGCCCCTCTCTTTCAGGCGGTGCGGCAATCACCTAAGTTGCACTCTGCCACATGGAAAATTGGCCAATGAAGGATGTAAGCCTAAAAATTGGAAAAAAAGAGTTCTCACCAAGGACTGACCTCTCATCATTGAACAGCATTCCCTTTGAGGATTCGAACAGTATAAAATGCAGCTGCGCAGGTTGGATATGGTTAGGTAAGGGAATTTAATTTGATGAAATGTGAGGATATGATTTATACTGGCGTCAAGCACACAACAGAGGAACCGCTTCCCTGTTATTAAGTCGGTCAATCACATTACGTCGGTTTGTTGATTACAGATCCTAGATCCTAGACCATAGATTTCAGATCATGATCCTCAAAATTGAAAGAATTACCTCTGTGAACTTTGTAAATTGCTTTAACATCACGCTAACCGCAAAACCATATTTGCAGGCTTCAAGACCTGGTTCTAGTGGTTTTTCAGCTTTTCAAAAACTTAACACTGATCCAATTTTTGGCAGTAAATAACATAGTGAACGCGAATTCTCATTTTAAGTTCTCGTGATGACCTTGTTCTGAATTGATCGCTGCTCTTCAAGCTGTACAAATCTTCCAAACTCCGGCGAGGAAAATTCTCGAGTAGCTCGAACTTCAGTGAGCTCTCTCAAGTTTGAGGGGATATTTCCTGCAGTCTGGAAAGATATCTATGTAATTAATAAAAGGTCTGGACTACTGTCAGTGGGCAGGAATTTTGTGGTCTAGGTTGCACTAGATTGCAGGTTAGGGTTTCCTTTGTTGAATGGTCTTAAATACTAGTACGCGGCACATCCAGGTAACCTGAGCACATTTTAAATCTTATAGGGGGAGAGCGAGCGTAATATGAGCGTAAACCAAGTAAATTTGCGCAGTGAAGTTGGAGAAGAGAGAAAGGTTCGAGGTCACTCAAGCACACATGAATTGAGCACGACTGCGCTTATGACGACCACTAAGTCTGCCGGGTGTGTTGGACCAGAAATTTATTTCTCCTGTATCACAGCGTCCAAAAATGCAAGGAACGTGGGCAATATGCCATTTTCTAACAAGAAGGAGCGCCCGGCGTTAGCCGGGCGATCTGACTGGTGTTTAATATAATGTAAGAATGCAGCTACACAAAAGTGTCACTCAGGAACTGATAAGAGATATGAACTAGCTCACAATCTACACAAAGCGTTGACGGAAGAAAGCTAGAGAATCTTTAAAATGATCAAAGACGTGGTTTTATTGAAACTTTTAAATTAGTAGCGAAGTACAACTTGGACAAAACACATAATTTATTCGATCATCGGTTCTGTTCCTATATTTTCACCACCATGGCAATTTTGAATTTTTTTGCCTACTTGTTGATGGAGCGGACTTCCAATTTCAGCTATCGTTTTACAATGAATTATCGTCGGCACTCTGCTGTGCTGTTGTTTCCTTTTCATAGGGATGTTACAAAAGCCACTTCGTATTTTTCCCAACTAAATTTTCCTTTCGAATTTTTGTTTACGTATCGTGATGGACACCTACCAAAGAGTCATCTACTGTCGTACAAAAGCATGGTCCTTTCAATGATACTTATTATTTGGGAGCTTTTCCGGGCTTGTGTTTTAGAAGTCGAGTCAAGGAAAACTAAAAGAACCGGCAATAAAATTTCCGTTACCAATACACGAATTCGTGATGAAGTAGTCTCTTTGTAGTCGTAGTCTCTTTTAGACATTACAGTAATGGATTGTCAAATAACATCGTCATTTCTTTTCGCAGATGATGATTACAGTCCATGTTCTCCATACCAGACTTCCTTTCATTGTTTGAAAGCTCTTCGGTTCGATCCTTGGATGGCATGCTTTTCCGCGAATGTTTTGTTCCCAATAACGAATACGATGTATCGAGAATGAGAGAACTGTCGTATTGCCTTGATAGTGCAGTGGATTGAGAATTCGTCCCTTGTCTAAAGGGTGGAGAGTTCGTTCCTTTGTGTGACTGTCTTTTGAGGCGCTGAAGCGAGTGGTTCCAACCAGATGAAAGAACGGGAAATCTGAGAGATCA